TATATTTAGGGGTTGAAATGGACCAAAAACTGCAAAATTGTCAGCAGGTCGTAATTATGGGGGTTACCGGACATTGCAAAAGCCAAGCAGTTTTGGATGGCCATCCAAAAATATTCAATGTGTGAATAGTTTGCCAACTTTTGTAGACAAAATACGAAAATGTCCATTCCAGTGACTTTTTGGAGAATTCACAAATAGAGGAAAGACGCACTTCTGACTATTTCGTTAACGCTGATTTCGTTGAAGAATATAGTCAAATGTCCGTATCTCATATAGATGCGTTTCAGTCAAAAACCAATAATAAATGTTAATCTTTTGCCACTTCGGAGAGATTATAGGTCTTTGGGAAATATTGGTTCTAGATCTAGGAAGACCATTTACGTGCAACATCTACCAATAAATTGGAAATGAGCAAATTAGCTTAAGTTGCTATTATTCGAAAATTAGAGAACCAAACCTGATGGTTTTCTTTTATAATTTGTCACAATATCTTGTGGAATTCTTTCGAGTATCTCGCCTATATAAACAGTATCGTTTATTATAGTGTTGTAGGGTATTCAACGGTCGGCCCCGCTCGACTGTAGCCTTTGCTTACTTGTTTTTTTGTATGTTATTGTAGTAGTTTATATTGACGTGTTATTTCTTAAAATCTGAATTGGCCAACTCCTGACATATTGTCTAGACATTTTTTTTAGAAACTGTTAGTAAACCACAGTTAAAATAGTTTAATGTTTCGATCGGTAATAAATGGGGTTGGATTCCGAGAATTTTATTCATACTGCATTGGTGGTCTGCATTCCGATCTGTCTGATAGGATTTTTCAACTAGAGACCCACTTTTTAAATCTTTGGTCCTCTTCCTCTATACACCCTTGGCAGAAACAACGAAAGTATTTCATAATGGTGATATACAGAAATAAGCTTCATCTCCTCGTGTTGATGGTCCACTGATGCTATAAGTTTTAGTTTTTGGAGTGGTATTCTGATAAATCTAAAAAATGTTTTTTTTTTTGTGTAAAAATATGTTGTATCAGTATAACTTACCAGTCACAGATCTATTACGTTATAAGCTCTGTCAGATAACGACTTGATAACTTTATGCTTTTTATTTTACATTATTTATTTTTCAGCAGGGATGACTTAAATGTATACAGGGTGAGGTAAAAAAACTGCAACAAAGTCAAACGCCATCATTTTTACATTTTCTTTTTTTTTTTATTTTATTGAATGAAACAAAAAATGTCGGAAATAGCATCCAAATTTAGAATAAGTTCAGATTTGTTCGAATTGGTTACCTTTGGCACGAATTATGGCCTTCAAACGGCCAATGAAACCGTCACACGCTGCCCGAATGTTGCTATGCGAAGTTTTTTAATTTTTGCGTGCCCAATTTATTCTGCATTTATTCTGATGCCATGGTCGATTAATACAAGCGGAGAGCGACCATCACCTGTTATGGCGGCCCACACCATCACCATGGCCGGCGCTTGAGTTCTTGTGGCCAACCGAAGGTGCGCATTTTCAGCTGATTTTTTTGGCAAGTAAACACGATCATTTTGTTTGTTCACAAACTGCTGAACAACGAATGTTTTTTCATCGGAGAAAACCAAATTCGGCAGTTCACCACTTTCGGCCAAGCGAAGAAACTCTTTAGCTCTTTTGAGTCTATTTTCTTTCTGTTGCGGTGTAAGTACTTGTACTTTTTGAAACTTGAATGGCTTTACTCCGAGCTTATTTTTCAATATTTACTGAATGTCCACTGCGACGCGGGTTTCGATCAAGTCGCTTCTTTTCTGCTTATGTTGTTGTTTTCTTCCGTCCAATTCCTTGACGTCGGGCTACGCTACCAGTATCACGGTAACGAGGGATGGTACGAGGCACAAAAGATTTATTCACATTTAAATGCTGGAGTGCTCTAACGATAGCCACTTGTGGTTTTCCAGCCAAATATAAAGAAATCACACTATCACGCTTGTATTCCATCACAAATAACTTTTTTTTTCTGGTAAATTTTCACCAAAATGCTTTTGTACGCTTGTAAACAATATAATGAGCCGTCACAGGAATAATTGCAACAGTTGTCGGACAAGTGCCTTAGAAATCACAGCAGTCTGAAGTTGGTTGCAGTTTTGTCATTTCACCCTGAACAGCAGGTATGACTTAAATATGCTTGCATAGACAGGATATAAACCTAACAAATGCTTTCTGCTTCACACAGGGTGCCTAGAATTCTTTTTTGAACATTCCACATTAAATTGACTACCTATTGTTTTAATCTTAGTCTAAGATATTGTGTCCGAAATCCTCCAAATGTGTAAAGGATTGAAAGTATGAAAATATTTTTATAAATCGAGGGGCCTGAATACTTTTTAGTTTCACGGCCGAAATTTTTCGATGTCGGTAAGCTCAATATATTTCTATTTTTTTTAATCATGCAGGTTTCATTCCCATCATATTCTTTGTTTAACTTGACGACGCCCAATATCATTAGAATGACTGGATTGCTGAAGATCATCCGCTAGTTTGTTGGGTCCTTTGATCTTACTTCGGGCTCTCGACCAGGTATATCGCGTGAAATTAGTCCTATGAAGATGTCTTCAAAAATGCATCCTTCTACTCGATAGAGTCCGAGTTTTGGAAATTTCTGTGTCAGGCTTTTCCGTTTTAAGGAAACTTTGGTGCTAAGAAGTTATGTAATTGTTGGATTTCCTGATGAGTTGGTGTGGACCCAGAGGCATGACCGATTCTCTAATGCCTATATCTGTCCTTCTATCAAATGATTGATGTACTTACATGCAAAAAGTTGATCTACCAGGCACTGATCTCATATAAATGGGTATTATTATTATACCCTCCACCATTCTATGGAAGGTATATTAGCATTGTTATTCCATTTGTAACTCCTCGAAATACTCATAATAGACCCTACAAAGTTATATTCAGCGTAAAACTCTAAGACGATATCGCTATGTCTGTCTGTCTGTTGTAGTCACGCTATCTTTCGAACAAATGGAAATAGAAGGCTAAACTTTTGCATACATGCATAGTTTACCAGTAGGCAGGTTAAGTTCGTAAATGGACCATGTCGGTCCACGGTTTCGTATAGCCCCCATATAACGGTACCTCCCGATATTCGATATTTTAATGATTTTAGCAACATTATTTACAGGAATCGTTTCAAATTTCGTGTTTGGAGATATTAATAGGTACTTCAACCTATGACAAAAATTGTATTCACGTCTTCGTATAGGCCCCATATAACGGTACCTCCCGATAGTCGGTATTTTGATGATTTCAGCAATATTATTCACCGATATCGTTTCAAATTTCGTATAGGAAGATTTAATAGGTACAACAACCTATGGCAAAAAATTTCATATGCTTTTTACCTGTTCGTATTTCGTATTTGGAATATTGTAATAGTCACGTCATGATTGATTTTAATGTAAAAATGGAAGTATAATCAGGAGTTGGATTTCTTAAACGGACGAGGACCTAGACATTGACGCTGACGCTGACGAAGACCACGGAAACGAGGGCCCACTGGAGACTGCGTTGTTGCAGGGTAATCCGGAACAGTTACTGCATTTTACCCACTCTCTGTAGTTGATAAAAAATTGTCCGAGATTTGTTCGATCCTGACATGGACCAAACGGATTTTAAAGAAGAAAAATAATCAATTTGAATTGTGAGATTGGATATAATATATTTTTTTATTGTGGGTTTTTTATTTTCTTTTGAATGAAATCCGTTTGGTCCATGTCAGGATCGAACAAATCTCGGACAATTTTTTATCAACTACAGAGAGTGGGTAAACTGCAGTAACTGTTCCGGATTACCCTGCAACAACGCAGTCTCCAGTGGGCCCTCGTTTCCGTGGTCTTCGTCAGCGTCAGCGTCAATGTCTAGGTCCTCGTCCGTTTAAGAAATCCAACTCCTGATTATACTTCCATTTTTACATTAAAATCAATCATGACGTGACTATTACAATATTCCAAATACGAAATACGAACAGGTAAAAAGCATATGAAATTTTTTGCCATAGGTTGTTGTACCTATTAAATCTTCCTATACGAAATTTGAAACGATATCGGTGAATAATATTGCTGAAATCATCAAAATACCGACTATCGGGAGGTACCGTTATATGGGGCCTATACGAAGACGTGAATACAATTTTTGTCATAGGTTGAAGTACCTATTAATATCTCCAAACACGAAATTTGAAACGATTCCTGTAAATAATGTTGCTAAAATCATTAAAATATCGAATATCGGGAGGTACCGTTATATGGGGGCTATACGAAACCGTGGACCGACATGGTCCATTTACGAACTTAACCTGCCTACTGGTAAACTATGCATGTATGCAAAAGTTTAGCCTTCTATTTCCATTTGTTCGAAAGATAGCGTGACTACAACAGACAGACAGACATAGCGATATCGTCTTAGAGTTTTACGCTGAATATAACTTTGTAGGGTCTATTATGAGTATTTCGAGGAGTTACAAATGGAATAACAATGCTAATATACCTTCCATAGAATGGTGGAGGGTATAATAATAATACCCATTTATAACATTTAACATTAATGTTATTTATTTAAATAAATATTTCACAATGTACATAACTGTTAAGCGTTTCGCTGAGAGCTTCTTGACTTAACTAATAATTTACTAATACTATAGCATACTTTTAGGCACACATGTTGAGTTTTTACCCATATACCTTTACAGTTCGGTGACTTCATGAACGCTAACACCATTCGCAAACGTTCCATTCGATTGATCGTCCAACAGTTTTTCAATACAATTCAACGAGTAACACATTATAAATGGCGATTTCAACGTTTTAAACACCTTCAGGAGGCGAGGGCGTAAATTGAAAAATATCAATTTTTGATTTCTCGAATTAAAGTCTTGAATTATTAATTCAATTGCCTTGGCGGTGGTGAAATCGGCAGCATAGATGAAAGTGCAATCGAAAACCACGGGAATTGTGTATTTTTGACCCGATTTTACAATTTTGTTGCGTACAAATTCCACGGAGGGAAATATTAAACAACGATCGGGGGTGATTTTCAAAAACTGTTTGCCCGAAGATGTCTGCAATGGAAAATTAAATAATTATTAAGGTATGTAAATTTTGAGATTTTGAAAGGGTAGTACCTTAACCAAATCCACATTTATTTCAGGTCTGGCCGATTGGTATAAAATATACAAAATATTGATGGCGATTGCAACAAACACACCAACACTCAAGGGACCCACCAAACATGCCGCAAAAGCCAGTAGACCAATGAAAAGATCAGATTCTAGAAGATATAAAATCCATTGAATTACATGCAATTCGGAATATAATTGGTAAGTACTTACTTTTGCTACGCCACATTGGTTTTATAGTTTGATATTGTAATTGAAACAATACAGCTGCTATGATTATGGCTGCTAATGTTGCCTTTGGTATATAATAGAAATATTCGGCCAAGTATAGTAAGGCTAGTATAACGATAACGCTGACATAGACATTCACAAATTGGGTTCTTCCACCACTGGCTGTATTTACCGAACCTCGGGCCAAGCCTCCATTGATACGATAGCCCCTTACAAACGAATTGGTTATGTTTGCCAATCCTAAAGTAATTAATTCCTGATTTGTATCCACAGGTTTTCCATTGGCTAAATACAGAAAAATAATAATTATACAAAACGAATAAAACATAAATAAATTATTGTTTCAATAGATAAATACATACGTATATAAAAATGCACGTATAAATAAATAAATAAATGTGGTCGTTTTGCTAACTTACCAAATGTCCGACAAACGGCAATTGTTTCCAATAACGATATCAATGGTATAACCACTAAACCACTTCCGAATTCCTGTAACAACATCCAAAAGCTTTGCGTATTTTCCTCCAGTTCAGTTTCACTAACATAACTACCATTGCCATTCACAATTGACAAAGCGGGAAATTCTACTGGTGGAAATCCCGATGGAATATAACCAGTCAATTGGACATAACTTTTTCCCATATGTTCCAAATAACCCACAATGGTGGCGGTAACAAATACCAAGAGAGCATTACGCGATACACCCAAAAACCAAAATATAGTATTGCCAATTTTTTGTATTCTCGAGAGATCGCCATTTTCTTTTGCCTTCAGTTTGATATTTCCAATATATCTCAATATTACCAGCACTATGATGCTTCCAATACCCAATATGGTATCACTGGTACGAAAGTTATGTATATCCTTAATGATAGATATCCAATTTTGTAGAAATGAATTTCCATTGGCTTTAACCACCAAAATATTCTTGATTTGTGATGTGAATATTATGAGAGCCACGGCACTGGTAAATCCCGCATTTACTGGACCCGAAACAAAATCAATAATAAAGCCCATGCGAGTCAAGCCCATAATAAGTTCTATAAGTCCTGAGAGTAGGGTAAACAGTATCGATTTTTGCCAATTACCGTGGCATACTTGTAGTGTCAGCAACGATGCTATGGCTGTTGATCCAACAATGTTGTCTTTGCATGATCCAAAAATCGTATAGATGATGTTGCCCATAAAGGAACTGTAAAGAGCAAACTAAATTTTGTATAATAAATTTTGATATGATTCGAAGAGGAAGAATTGTAAAAGGGTATCATATCAACATATTAAAAATTGTAACATATGGAGAAAAAATGCCTGCTGTCATAGTCTAGGGTGAACTGTAACTGAAAAATACCAACTGTCATTAAGAAAAAAGACCTTGAATTAAAAGTTAAATTCCATTTAATTTGAAATTAAAAATAAATACATTTTTTATAATCGACAACAATTCGACGTTATTCACCACACAAGTAAAACACATTTATTTATATGTAAGATGTCCAATACATCGGGCGTACGAAATTTCCAAGTTGAACAATTTGAACATTGACAATTGAAAAATTCCATTTGTTTGCGTGTTGAAAATAGAAACAAATAATAAATTGGAGTGAACGTGAAGTCGGAAAATAATCAATTTTTACAAACTTTATTAGTGGATAGATTTATAGATATGGACCTGCCATATTTGGGTAAGGCGGACGTATAAAACATTTTACCATAGTGGGGAAGTTGAATATTTGTATACGCAACGTCGAATTTTTGGTAACGCTGTAATATATATATTTATATAAAATGATTAGCATCGTTGAATGGATGATATATTAAGTTTGTCATTAATTTGACCCTAAATAACCTTTCTTTGAAAGTTCACATGATCTAGAAAATTATTTATTGATATTTTTTATTATTTATAACTGGTCATTTGCTTGTATTTTCTCGGGTTTCCTGTCTATATCCTTTTGACATGAGAAGAAAACGTCTATTAATGAGGAATGGGAAAGCGCTTTTTGACTCATTGAAAATATGATTGACAATGCGCAATGCGTAATCTGTCATCGCATTAAGGTGAGAATACATAATGCGCTTATTTGGCTGGCTTCTTCGTAGAGGAACAGAGGAGTTTTAGGTTGACCTAGTTCGATTTTGCCCCTGGGCTCCTTTGTTCATTTCCGAAGAAGCCAGCCTATGACTTAAGCCAGCCAAATAAGCGCTTTATGTATTCCCACCTTTACTTTGAATAATTGCAAGAAATTTTTTTTTGTTTTTTGTCGATTATGGAAGTAGGTTAAATTTGAAAAGTAATCTGAGTAGGGAAACTTTCCTCTTCCATTTTTTTTGAATTCGTGGATTATTACTCATTGGAATCTGTTGATTTTATGTATATTGTGTCTTCGGAATATTTTGGTAGGAAATTTTAACTATCTAGCGAGTCTCCAAAGGGATATTTTCGATTTTTTTCAAAATCTGGCAAAAACGGGATCGTGGCAATTCAAAATATTCCACTATATTATTAAACCCTCAGCCATATGGATAGAGAGGGTATATATCATTTGGTATATACCTCTCTATATATACCAAAGGGTATATATCATTTGCCTATTCGAAATAACGGTTCTAGATCCTACGTCTATTTGGACCAAATGCGTTTCAGGACATTTGGAGTCGATTTAGCGATGTCTGTCTGTCAGTCCGTCTAGCTGGCAATAACTCTCGATGGGAGTATCCGATTTGGTCCATACTTGGTACATCGTAATATTTTTGTCAAACTTAGATCGAGTTCGGAAATGGGTAATATCGGTCTACTCCTTCTGGTACCTCCCCCACAAAAGATGGAAATTTTCAAAAAATATTTTTTTTTACACAGAAAGAGAAACGATAATCCGATTTTGCTCCAACTTTGCAAATACTAAAATTTACGTCAGTTCTAGGTCAGGTGAGAAAATGAAAAACATCGGTCCACTCCATCAAGTACAAAGGGTTAAAATTTCGAATAATTACAAATCATATAAAATGTGATTTGAGAGTCCGTTTGTCTTCAAATTTCACACATCATAATTACAACTCTTTTAAAATGTGATGTAAGAGTCAGATTGTCTTGAAATTTCAGACATCATAATATTTTTATTAACCCAAGGACTGGTGTTAAGATGGAATATATCGGCCTACTCCTTCTGGTACCTCCCCCACAAAAGGTCGACATTTTCAAAAGATATATTTTCTGCACAAAAAGTCCACTCCATCAAGTACCTCCCCCACAAAAGGGTGACAATTTTGAATAATTACAACTCTTATAATAAGTGATATAAGAGTCCGTTTGTCTTCAAATTTCACACATCCCAATAATTTTATTCAAGATCTGTTGTTAAGATGGAATATATCAAACCAATCCTTCTGGCAACTCCCTCACAAAAGGTCTAAATTTTGAATATCCAGTAAGCTCATAAAACGCGAAATTAACATCCGATTCCATTTATACTTGGCACTTCTGAATATTCCTATCAACACAGGATCTGTCATAAGAGCGAAAGAGATCGCACCATTCCTTCTGGTACCTCTCCTACAAAGGATCAACATTTTAAATAGCCATGAAGGCCATAAAACGCGAAATAAGCATCAGGTGCTCTTTATATTTCACACATCCCACTTTTTCTATAAACACAAGACCTGTTGTGAAGATGGGACATATCCGTCCACTCCTTCTGGTACCTCCCCCACAAAGGGTCATAATTTTGAATGTCCACGAAGCTCATAGATCGCGAACTTAACATCCAATTCCATTCAGACTTGCCTCATCTTCAACACAAAATCTGTCATGAACATGGTGGATATCGGACCATTCCTTCTGGTAACTCAGCCACAAAGGGTTAAAGTTGTTAATAACCAAAACTATTATAAAATACGACTGTCCATAGAGGGTCAGCAATTTGAAAATCATAGCAGAATTTTTTTTTATTTTTTAACCCAAAGCGGTGTTATTCTTTATAAAATATTTTAAAAATTATAATTAATTACTATATTATTTCCTACGTTTCGCTTATAAAATATTGCTGGAAATTCCTTAACTTTTATTTTTCAAAACGTTCTTAATCCCAATACACTTTTAAAACAATGACTTGACAGTTTATTAAGAGATCCTCTTTGACACCAAGGCATGCATATCTTCCATATTATTTTCATATTTCACCATCACTTATTATTGAAATACCAATCCCTGCTCAATAGTTTTGCAAAATAAACATAAAACTAGTTTTGTTTTTGTTTATTTATTCGCCACATTGTTGGGTATTTAAATCACTTAACACATAACACGCTTTTTGTTTGAATATATCAATTCAATGTGTGTATGTTAAAGACCCTTTTAGGGGAAATACACAAATTACTGCGTCCGATTTTGTTTTGGCTTCACAGAAAATTTACATAAATTCGTGAAGAAAGCGTGCTCACTAATCCATCAACGATTCTTGGTTTGTTTGTTTGATTTACCTCTGTTGGTAGACCCGCAATACCGGCAAAGGCCAGTGCCAAGGGTATGGCAGCAAGCGAAACTGTTATACCGGCTATTAAGTCACCGATAAAGTCAGCTTTGTTATAAACCGGTAGCCACTGAAATATCGGCATGTGACGTTTCAAATTCTTTCCGCTAAAAACTTTGTCTAGAAACATGCGACACTCTTTAGAATTGGTTAAAAGTTCTCGCTGTGATTCATTGTGGGGGGAATTGGAGAAATCCGCCAGAGATTGTCTGCTGTGATGCACGGTTTGATGATCGGTCATCATAACATTGTTGAAATCGATGGCATTATCTAGACGTCCGGTATTCATGATTTGTTGCTTTTGTTTTTTTTTATTGCTAATAAATATTTAATGGCAAAAATATTGCAAAATAAATTTAAAAATTTAACGCCAGTCTTTTTCTCCGGCACATATCAACCCGACGAAATTCAAACTAAGACTGAGAATACAATAAAGCTGGA